AGCAGGAACAAAATGCTTTGGAGGACGTTAACTCCAGAAGACTTCAATGTCCAAAGGTTAATGTGTGTGGATTAATCCACGTGAAGGAGCACGCTCCACCACTGAGGTGGTGATGGCAGGTGTAGAACAGAGTATGGACAAACTCCCATGGCAGTACAGGAGTAGCACATCCCACCCAGCAGATTAGGAAGCAGCCTCACTGTCCATCACTCCAAGCATCCATCCATCCTTCACAGTTCAGGTATGAAGTGATTCACATGACTTCATCTCCATGGACAGGGATTGCAATTCACATTTTTTTTTGGCATCACACTTTGGATTCTGGGCTCTTTATGGAGTTCCCTGCCAGTTTCTCCTTCTCTGGGTCTGCCTTTGTCTCTTCTGCCTTGCTGGCTTCCTTCTCCTGCCGTCTGAGAATCACATACACAGTCACGAAGCACAGGAAAGCTCCCACCTCAAAGAAAAACTGGAGACCAAGATACCTGTGGTGTGGAAACACAATAAATCAGGGTAGCAAGGACATTCCTATGTTCACCAAGCACCAACATCCAATGTCCCCAGGCACCCAGCAGATACTGAGCATGGAGATGGGTTCCTTGGGTGCATTCTGCAGTGGGCAAGCAACTGCTGCAAGCTTGACTCTGGAGAAGAGTGGTGGAAAGAGGAGGAGTAACTATCAAGATGTACTTCTCTTTGGTGTTACATGAAGAAAGCATATCTTCTGGTAAGAAGGAGACATATAAAAACATGTCTTGGGGTTGAAGGTGAATAAGACTTGATGTAGCTACTGGGCAGTGAGTCATTCAACAATGATGAATTTGCATTGAGGATGGAAGACCACCTACAGCTGGAGCAGCTCTGCTGTGAGGACAGGCTGAGAGTTGGGGCTGTTGAGCCTGGAGAAGAGAAGGCTCCGGGGAGACCTTCTAGTGGCCTCCCAGTACCTGAAGGGGCTCCAGGAAGGCTGGGGAGGGACTTTGTCCAAGGGCAGGGAGTGAGAGAACAAGGGGTGATGGCTTGAAAGTGTCAGAGGGGAGATGGAGCTGAGATGTGAGGAAGAAATTGTTTGGTGTGAGGGTGGTGAGCCAGTGTCCCAGGTTGGGCAGAGAAGCTGTGGCTGCTCCTCCCTGGAAGTGTTTGTGGCCAGGTTAGACATGTAGCAACAACTTATCCCACATCAGAGGTGACCTGATGACACGTTCCCCTTGGGTTTCCCTCTGTGACTCTATCCCTTATCCTGACCACCCATCCCTACCTTTGCCTGAAGAGGTTATTGTCGTAGTATCTGCAGGCTGCCTTCCTGTCACACTTCTTCTCCCAGAGGATGCAGGTCGTGTCGATGGCGCTGCCGTACAGAACGGGCCCTGGCATCCACGCTGGAACCAGAGAGTCAGAAGGGACTTTGTTACCTTATGGGATAGACCCAACCCTGGTTACTTTCCCATTTACTAAGAAGGTGGAAAGTGGTTGGAGATGGTCTTCTTTGCTGTGGCCAAGGAAGCCACTGATCCTGCACAGCATGCCAAGGGCTGACTGTATCTTTACACCCCACCAAGATGCATGAAGGTCCTTCTTTTCTCATTTCTCTTTGATAAAGGACCATTGCTCATCCTAGGAATGATGCTCACCTCCTTCACACACTGTGCACGTATGATCCTTCCTATAACTGCAGCAACATGTTCTGGGGTCCTCCAGAACATGAATTTTCATGTTCACCTCCAGGTGAACATGAATTTTCACCATAGGAAAAATAACAAGTGGGACCACAGGACGTGGTTTGCAGCCACCCTGATGGGCTGGAGGTAAACATGTCACTATCTGCACACAGCTACCTTCTTGGACCTAAATTAATTCTCTAACCTCTTCTATTATAGCCACGGAGATGTAACCCCATGGAGACATGTTGTCCCCTCCCCACCACGTGCAACCCACCCAGACCCTGCAAGGCAACATCTGACAAGGCTTTGGTCAGTCTGAAACTCAGAATATTCAAAGAGCAATTCTACAGCCCTGGAGCTGCTCAGGGTTTAAAATCTCCTCAAATCCTCAGGAGCTGCCATGATTTTCCAAGATGACATCTCACCACCTTTTCATTTACCTAAAACTCTCAGCAGCATGAATTGTATCCCAACTGCAAACGATTTATCTTCAGGCTGGATGCTCCTGAAAAACAAAATGGAAATTGAGTTTTCTGGCATTTCTACAAAAAAATGGATGTTTCTCTCTTTGGCATCTTTATGAAACTTTATGGTACCTCACCCCCCAAAAAAATCATCCTTCAACCCAACCACCGAGAACCTCAGGCGGTTCCTATTGACGTCAGCAAAAACGATGCAGTTTTCATTCAGTAGGACTAGAAATTTACCACAAAACCTTTTTCTTGGCTTGAAAAAAAAACCTCCCAAACTCTGTAAGAAACAAGGAGGAGCTCAGCTAAATCTTTTTGCTTTTAATTTAAAGAATCCATAGGAGGAAAACACAAACAGAACCCAGTATAACCAGTGGCTCTGCCAAACACAAGCAACACAAGGGATGTTTTTATAAATGAAAGAGAAAATGATTTATCCATTGAGAAAGTAGCTTTTTTTAATTTGAGGTGGGATGCCCTGATGGATATTTTAGTGCCATTCCAGTTTTCTGAAATTAAGATTTCAGGCTGGGTTTCCTGCTGGGTTCACACAATGGTGGTAACAGGACCTCTAGGTCCTCCCATCTCAGGGGACTCAGTTTCCTTTTCCTCTCTGTCTTCCTGGTGTATTCATGGCATAAATGTTGATTTAATAATGCTTGGGAGTCAAGGTTTTAAGTAAATAAGGTAAATAAGTTTTAAGGTAAATAAGGTCAAGTAATTATTAAATTAGGTAAATTAAATATTAAGGTAAATAAGTTTTAAGGTAAATAGTTTTTAAGGTAAATAAGTTTTAAGGTAAATAAGTTTTAACCACAGCTTTTCCCAAAAAAAGCCACTGTCTGGAGTGTTTTGACCACAGAAATGTACTTGGAAATATTATTTATAGACTTAACACCGTGATTCCCTCATGGTTTTTTCCTCCTCTCCCCCAGCACAGCCCTAACTTGGTAATTGAAATAAAGTGAAATAATAATAATAATAGTAATTAAAGTAATAATAATGATGATAATAATAATAGTAGTGATGTCCTGATCATCCCAGGCTCTGGTCCCACCAGCCTGGGGCTTTTGTTGAGGTTGGCTCCAGCCTGCTGCAACTTTCCAAGGGTTTGGGAAAATAAGAGTCCTAATTGCTTCTGTGCAGTGGGAAGGGAGGTTGTTTTCAAATGAGATCCATCAGAAGGAAGAAGGTGTCCTGGTTTTGACTGGGATAGAGCTAATTTTCTTCTTAGCAGCTAGAATGGCACTATGTTTTGGATTTAGTATGGAATTCGGTACAAGAAGAACGTTGATAATATACTGATGTTTTTAGTTGTTGCTAGGAAATCAAGGACTTTCCAAATTCTCATGTTTTCCTTGACTGCAGGTGCAGAAGAAGGACTTGTGCAAGCTGGATAGGAGCACAGCAAGAGCAATGGAGCCCAACTGGACAACAGGATATTTAATATCATTCCATGATTCTATGATATAACATAATATTCAGTATATAAATGAGGGTTGGCTGGAAAGCTTCCTCTCAGTTTTCCAGGATTGCAGTTTCAGGATCTCTCTCCTTCTCTGGGGATCACTAGCCAGGAACAAGCTGGGCCTTGGTTGGTGGGTGGTGAGCAATTGCATTGCACATCAATCATTTTATATTCTCTCACTGCTATTATTATCATCATTATTATTACTTTAATTAATATTATCATTATTATTTCACTTTATTTCAATTATTAAATTGTTTTTATCTCAACCTTTGAGTCTCCTTACCTTTACCCCTCCAATTCTCCACCCTGTTCCCCAGGGTGGGAGGAAGGTGAGTGAGCGGCTGCATGGTGGTTAGTGGCCTGCTGGGTTAAACCACAACAGAAGATAATTAAACTCCTTAACACAGAGCTGCATTAAAAAGTGCCAGAGTACCACCATGCTCAATTAATGCTGAGTTAATGATGTATCTCCTTAATGATGTACCTCCTTAATGAGGTATCTCATTAATGAGGTATCAACCATGGGTGGGGAGAAGGAACAGGATGGCTGCTAGATCTGAAGGTTGTGCTGAGACCAGGAATGGGGGGTACTGATGGCAATGTGGGGTTCCTGTGAGCCCCACGGCCCCATTGGTGGGTGGAGATGCCGTGGGAGTCTGGCACAACGTGACATCCACCCACCCACCCATCAGCTGCTCCTTGCCTGAGCCTGTTGGTGAACGCCATGTTGTCTGCAAGAGCAATGGTGGCTCCATGATAAATTGTCCATGCAGCACTGGTGGCTCCATGATAAAACCTCCAGAAGCCTGAAATCTCCATTTACTGCTGCAGGGATCAGCAGCAACACCCAAAGGGACCATGGAGAAGCTTTTGTAGTCTTAGGGCAGCAGGAGCTCTGTTACTGTCAGGTCTACAAGAGCATGTCCTGAAGGTCTCTCCTGTTTCAGCATTTGAGACTGGAGCTGCTTGATGTTTTTCTCCTGCCCAGGCATGTCAGGTCTTTGTTAGCAAAGCATAACCTGATCCTGAGGCATATGTAGCCCAGGAGATGGACAACCACATCCACTGCCAGGTGACAGCAGCAGGGAAGCCCCGTTCTTCATTCCCTGCACCAAGATGTTCAAAAACCACATGAAAGCAGGAGGAGGAACTGGGCACAAGGTGCAATATCAGGCTGATTTAACCCTCCAACTCTTCAGCTGGAGAAAACCTTCCTCCTCAACTCAAAGACACCTTGGTTTTCCAAATCCAACCTCTGGATGCTGTTTCTGTCATGCTTACAGGAGTGGCTGCATCTACACCATGGCCAACCCAACCTGCTCACCTGAGGATGAGCATGAAGGACGGTGTGTGGGATGTGCTGGCGAGGATCCCTGCCAGGCAGGACAGGACCACAAAGGGCAAGAAGAGGTGGGAGCAGCCGGTGCCACAGGTCCCAGGCTTGGCAAACCCTGAGAGCCCATTTTCAGAGATGCAGCTGCAGTTGGTGTAGTTCTGTAAAGAGAGAAAATCCAGAAGCTGCTGATCTGCTCAAGGCTATGGAGATACCAGGGATAGCTGCCAGCTGTTATGGGGAGAGAGGGTGTTTAGGTTTTGGCTGGAAATAATTAGCAGTAATTAGCACTCAGCACTTTGAGGAGCAGGGGGAGGCGGGGAAAGAATCACATACAACAAAGCTGACTGAGTGGGTGAGGAAACATATCTTCCCATCCCCACTTCCAACCTCCAACATGCTTCCAAGGAGGTCCCAGTCCCACCAGGTCCCATGGGCATGTCATATGGGTGAGCATGCACAGCTAATGGGGAAGCTGGGACCACCAATGGTGCCTTCATTCATCTACAGTGGTACCTTGAGTCCTCTCTTTGTGCTTCCAGAAGCACCTGGAGATGCTTCCAACCTAAAAACATCCTTGCCTTGTTGGTGTGAGTCCCAGCAATGCCTCCCTACTCCCTGCAGCAAATCCTTCTAGTGAAGGGTGATCCAGAGGCAGGAACATCCCAGGGTCTCCCAAATCCCTGTTCCCACAAGACTGAGAGCATGGGAGGAGATCTGGGATGAAGGGGAACACAATCCCTCATCACACTTCTAGAAAAGAACATTTAATATTTTAAATTAATTTCTTTTTCCAGTGCTTCCAGTCCCGTGTTTCACGCCTGGTGTGCACTGAAGGTGCTTACACACCAGTTTATTTCAATGTCATCATTTGTCAACTGAATATTTTGGCATCCTGCATAAATCTGGATCCTTGGCATGGAAAGAATAATCTCACCCACAGCTGATAAAACATCCAAGCTTGATGTGAGCTCAGTGATCTGTGTTATATCTTTTTGGAGGAAACCTCTAGGGGATCAGCCTGGCTTCCATCACCTGTACCCCCAGCTTGTCTTCTGCTGCAAGATCCTTCATCCAGGGATACGTGTAGAGCAGAGGTGGCAATCAAAGCCAGAGCTGGAGCTCAGGGAAGTGTTACATCAGAAAACACTTGCTAAGGGAAAATGCAAAACCTCATCTTTGAGAGAGGATCATCAATAACCGGCACAGAAAAGATGCCCTGGGGTGAGGAATATGGATTTTTTTTATTTTTCTCCAAATTTTCATCACCATTCTCTTTTTTTTTTCCTTTTTTAACCAAAAAAACTCATTTTTTTTACAGACATCTTTAAATAAAATGAGCACAACCTTATTGTGGCCGGAGGGGAACAGATTCACAGCAAGATGGCACTTTGCAAAAGGGTGATCCAGAGGCAGAAGCAGCCCAAGTTCTCCCAAATCCCTGTTCCCACAACACTGAGAGCATGGTGGGGGGGGGAGATTTAGGATGAAAGGGAACAAAATCCTTCCTCCCACTTCTAGAAAAGAGGATTTAATATTTTAAATTAAGACTAGGATTTTATCTTCTTCATCCATCTGAAACAAACTCAACCAAACTCATCATCTGGGCTCTTTCTGCAGTCAGGGAGGAAGAGATGGGTCTCCAGAGAACCCACCACAGATAAGTGCTGAAGATAGCTGAGATTAATTTAGGCCAAAGCAGTTAACAAAAATGCAATTAGATAAATTAAAACTCATTTGATCTGTGCAACTGCCACCTTTTATAGAGAATTGGAGTCATGATATTCAGGGGACTTGTACAGAGCCACATAGAGACAAAAAGGCTGGAGATGGACACGATGGAGGCAACAAGGAAGGGCTCTGCCCCTTTCATTTGAAACCTCGGAGGATTTTAGAGAAGGGAGCATGATCCTGGTTGCAAAAACCCTCTGAGCATCAGGGACAAGCCACAAAACCACCGGTGACTTGTCCTCTTGAGATGTATCATCTAAGGTCACAGTGCCACCAGGCTGATGCAACACCAGGGCTGGGAAAAACCACTCGGTGAAGAGGGGAAAGGAGAATAAACCAGAGCAACCCTGAAACCAGGGCTGTGGTTTCCAGGCAGGGGTGGGCAGATGGATGGCTCATGGCCAGCTCTGGGTTTTTCAAGGTTGTGCATCAAAAATCCCCAAGAGGACAATTTAGCAATTGTTTTCTGAAGAGAGAAAACTGCACACATCAAACTCTGCCTGGTGGGGGCTTATTTCTACTTTATGGGGTGTGTGTTGACAGGGGAATATTCCTGCTCTCACCTATGGCCACACATGGTGAGCACAGAGCAGGGCTTAGAAAACCACAAACCCTGTGACATTGAGAATCCCATAGTCCCAGGGGACCCCCCCATGGCCACCTCTCTTCAACAGGTGATGCTGGACCTGAACAAATAGAATCATTGAATCATAGAATCCCAGACTGGTTTGGGTTGGAAGGGACCTTAAAGCTCATCCAGTTCCAACCCCCCTGCCAGCAATAGGGACACCTTCCACTAGACCACGTTGCTCAAAGCCTCATCCAGCCTGGCCACAAACACTTCCAGGGAGGAGCAGCCACAGCTTCTCTGCACAACCTGGGACACTGGCTCACCACCCTCACACCAAACAATTTCTTCCTCACATCTCATCTCCATCTCCCCTCTGACACTTTCAAGCCATCACCCCTTGTTCTCTCACTCCCTGCCCTTGGCCAAAGTCCCTCCCCAGCCTTCCTGGAGCCCCTTCAGGTACTGGGAGGCCACTAGAAGGTCTCCCTGGAACCTTCTCTTCTCCAGGCTCAACAGCCCCAACTCTCTCAGCCTGTCCTCACAGCAGAGCTGCTCCAGCCCTCTGATGATTTTTGTAACTCTCTGGAAGGGTTGCAGCAAAGCAAATATCAGGTTTTTCTCCAAAATGAGAGGTGTTCTAGAAACCCAGGTGTTTGGGATATGGAAAGCAGTAGGCCACGGGTCCCTGCACTGGCAAAGAGATGCTGAAAATGCTAAAAAATTATATATATATATATATATATATAGCAAAGAAGTCAGGAGCTGTAGAAATGCCATAAAAATGCAATAATTTCATTTTTCCTTTCCTGTAACAGGTAATACCCAAAATCCAAGAGGGATGAAGGTTGTTCTGCAGACACCTAAACTCAGATCCTGGTTCAACATGATAAAGAAACAGAGCTCAGCATCTGCAGCCACATCACTGAGCTCCTCCATCCCAGGGAGATACAACATGCTCCAGCTATTCCGTGCTGACACATGGCTTGACATCTCTAGCAACATATTGAGATACAATCCCTGTGCAGAAGAAGTTCCCACACAACTTCAAATTGAGTCAAAAATCATAGAATCATAGAATGGTTAGGATTGGAAGGGACCTTAAAGCTCATCCAGTTCCAACCCCCCTGCCAGCAGCAGGGACACCTTCCACTAGACCAGGTTGCTCAAAGCCTCAGCCAACCTGGCCACAAACACTTCCAGGGAGGGGGCATCTACAACTTCCTTGAGATGCATCAATAGGTGGAAAGAAGATTCAGCAGATTATCTCAGGGCTAAAGGAAGAGCTTTACCATGCAGGGTTTGCATAGGACCATCAAGGGAGCCCTGATTTTGTTGTAGCATGTGTCCACATCCAATAATACACACAATGAATACAGGATTGGGTGATGTTCAGGAAAATAGGATGTCAAAGGGCTGGAGGCATCTTTGAGGAGGTAGAAGCAGTTGAAAAGGATCTGCTGGACAAAAAGCAGGCACAGGGATGGGGAAAAGCATATTTGGGACTAAGCTCTGGCAGGAAACATAATTGTTATTAAAAATGAAGTGTTGTTAATTAACAAAATGGTGCTAAAAAGTGCCCGGATAGTCTCCTGGTGGCATTATATCCTGTGCCAGGAACAGAGTGGAAAACTGCTCACCCTACATGGATTGCCAAGGTTTTTCAGATAGGGATTTGAAGTGGCAAAGATTTCCTTACTATTTATTTGTTGAACTCTATTGCCTGGAGACACAACAGTCCATTGGCACTGTGAAAACTCAGCCCTGGTAGGGTTTTGGTGGCAAGTAGGGAGCAGCAGAGGAGAAAGAAACACAGAGCAGCAAAATAATCCTGCCAAGTTGGTAAATGAAGGGAAAGCCAAGAGCAAACCCCATTTCTCTAACCCCTACATCAGGATTCTCCCACTAAATTATCTTCTCATGAAGACATTTGGCTTGAAAACTGGTACTTATGGAGAGGATGCACACTGGAACTGGACTTTTTAACCTTGAAAGATGGAATAACATCAGTCTAATAAGGCCTTCCCAGAGGATTCACTGAAGGTCTCATCCAGAGTCATAGAATCATAGAATGATTTGGGTTGGAAGGGACCTTAAAGCTCCTCCAGTTCCAACCCCCCTGCCAGCAGCAGGGACACCTTCCACTAGACCAGGTTGCTCAAAGCCTCATCCAACCTGGCCACAAACACTTCCAGGGAGGAGCAGCCACAGCTTCTCTGGCCAACCTGGGACCCTGTCTCAGAAAACCTGACAAATGTGAGCACCACATGGGCCATCCCTCATTAGCCATCCCAAGCCAGGACACTAGAGCAGTGGGAATGACTCACCAGGACTGAGTTGTTGTCCTCATTGATATTTACAACTCTGCAGCCAGCGGAACAGGGTGAGATGTATTCAACACCATTAGAGCCACAGATGGGGTTATAGGCTTTCTCAGGGCAGTTACAGTGGAGGTTACACTCCAAGGTGTGGTGTCCAAATTCAGAGCTATGAGAGGAAGAAAATATTAATCCATGGTATTGAGCACCATTAATACACATCTTCTATAGAAAATATACTCCATGTGTATTAAGATTAGTAAAGAAACACTTGATTGCTTAACAAAACCTTCCCCATATGTAAGAGAACCCACAGAAATTCCACTATAACCCCTCAAGCCTTTGTTCTACCTGGGCAAAGCATCATGATCACAATGGAGTCACCTACTTCCTTCATATCTGTCCCCAAATGTGGGGTCTTGGAGTAGTGCAACATGCAGGTGGTGAGCTCCCTGTTGAGAGCCTGGACCAGCTTCTGCTGAGACCACAAGATGCTGAATATATGAATTTACAGCAACTTAGATCCAACCTTGAGGGAAGATGAGAAGGTCCTGCTCATGTTTAGCTGCACAGGGAAGCAGCCACAGCTTTGGAGGTGTGATCTCAGAGCTGGCCCCTGCCCAAATTTTTCACTTGTGAGTCACGAGCCACAGTTTCCAAGATGAAATGTTAATCTTGTACTGTTTGTGCCAAAGATGTGTTCACTTCAGGTTTCACAGCCAGTCAGTGAAGTTAGAAGGAGTAAGAACTCGAGTGGATTTGGTGGTTATTCACAAAAACATTAATTTCTAACCTTATTCTATCACCTTTAACTGTTTCTCATGAGGGAATAAACCCATTTCTGGATAATCTGCTTAACTCCCACCTCCAACCCGAGGAGTGCAGCTGGGGATGGGGATGTACCCACAGCTCTGGGAATGACCCACCCATGCCCAGTCTAGTTGGAGTTGTCAGTACCTCTCGCTGTAGGTAACTCCTGCGACCTTCTGCGTGGGGCAGCCGATGAAGAGGAGGGGGAAAGCCATGAGCAGGCAGAGGAACATGCCGAGGATGCACATGGCACTGCATTGCCTCAAGGACATCTGGAACCTCTTCAAGATGGCACCACCCACCACGATCCCAACCATCGCTCCAGGGATGTTCACAGCACCTGAGGAAAGGCAAGTCCTGTAGTTTCTTTTCCACCCTCTGAACTGGATCAGTTCCTTCATTATGGTTCCTAGGTTGCCCAAGGAAGTTGTGGCTGTTCCTCCCTGAAAGTGTTGAAGGCCAGGTTGGATGAGGCTTTGAGCAACCTGGTCTAGTGGAAGGTGTCCCTGCTGCTGGCAGGGGTGTTGGGACTGGATGAGCTTTAAGGTCCCTTCCAATCCAAACCAGTCTGTGATTCTATGATTCGATGAACCCAACACTGACCAGTCCCCTGTGACTAACCCATGTCCCTCAGCACTGTGTCTACACGACTCTTCAATCCCTCCAGGGATGGGGACTCCACCACTGCCCTGGGAAACCCCTTCCAATGCCTCAGAACCCTTTCAGCAACGAAATTCTTCCTCACATCCCATCTCAACTGCCTTTGGCACAACTTGAGGCCATTTCCTCTTGTCCCAGACCAATGACTTGGCTTCCACTCCTTGATTACTGGGAACAATTTTAGATAACAAACATTTCTCCACATCTTCAAAGATTTTCTTCTAGCAAGCTCAGGCTGCAATGTGAAGGAATGAAAGTAGATAGTAGCTGAGAAATCACATGGGCAAGGACCTTGTGCCACATCTGTCTGTAGGTAACAGAAGGAGAAGGGCGGCTCCAGAGGAAAAGGTGTTTCTTAGTTATCTCTAGGTTATTTTCTAAGAGGTGCTCAAAAGCTGGCAAACCTCACCAGCAACACTTACCGATGATCATGTTGGCCAAGGACGCCGTGAGGGAGAACTGTCTCTCCAGGAACTTCCCCATGAATGTTGCTAAACCAGCAACCATGGCAGAGAGATTGACCTGAGCCAACACCACCAACAGGTAGACAGGATGACGGAGGTTCCTCAACAGAACCAGAGGAAAATCTGAAAGGAAAAGAAGAAAGAGACAAGTTGAGTAAGAGAGGAGATGTACAGCAAAGTATTAATCCATGGAAAATGGCAAAACCTTGAATTTTACATTTTTTGTGCAGAATTAACTCTTTAGGAGCAGTGAGCTCTCCTGAACGTTCCATTTACAGAAGGACAGAATGTGTGCTCTCAGAGTTTGTCATTCCAGGGCTTGATTGTGTGACCATCTGGATATTAAAAAGTCAGGATGAAGCATCAGGACATTGCAAAAATTAAACACCTGAAAATTGCAAAATGGGGTGAGAGGGGGAAGCTGATGATCCCTCATTCCACTTGCCTCAGGAACCAGCCATGGGAAGGGTGAATCAATGGTAGAAATTGTTGCAAAAGATAGAGAAAAAAAAAGTAGGGTTTCAATGCAAAGCACATCCAGGCTCAAAGTGAATGTCAGAAGAGAGTAACTCCTCTCTGGACATGTCCATCCCTGAAGACCTCAACCTCCATATCCATTAATCCTTTTGATTTGCTGCTGAGGTGGATCATGCTTAATTCCTACCAAAGCCCATGCAGCTGGGACTGGAACTGTTCCAAACGTGTGCATGCAGGCAGCAAACAAAGGGTCTGTGCCAACACCATGGGAAACTGTTGGAGGTGTCAGCATCAGGGGAGAAGAGAAGGGAAAAGGAGGGAAGAGGGAAGAGGGGAAAAGGAGAGGGGGAAAAAGGA